AGTGTTTTAATGGTTTGGGTCATGTCAGGAATTGTCAGCAGGTAACAATAAATTGCTCCCCTCTTATTTTTACCTCAAACTAGTAAATCAGTGACCCGCAAACCCTGAGTGTTCCTTTCTGTGCTGACTTGATAGCTACGTTTACCATCATGTCACGATCTGTCGGTTTTAATGTTATTTTGTGGAGTTTTATTCTCTCTAGGATCTTGTTAGGGTGTCTTGCTTTTACTTCCTGTTTTATTTTGTTAGTCCTCTATTTCTGGTGCCTTGTCAGTAGTTTTCAGTTATTATCTTAATTAGTTTCTTCTGTGCTCTGTTAACAGGTTGTTTCCACTCTCCCCGATTACCTCCCATGTCTATTTAGAGCCTCATTTTACTTCCTGTGTCCCTGTTGTCTTGGTCTAAGAAGTCTGTATGTACATCTGCAAACTGCACTTCATGACAAGTCAAATCTTTGATTTGTAGACAACTCAACCTACTGCCTGAAACCCAGCTGCCAAGCTGCTTCCAGTGAGCTTTCCTCTGTTTTCTTAACATTAACAATCACAGTAGCCAATCTGATCCAATTGAAAATGGATATCCATATATATTGGCAGTATATCTGCCATTGTTTCAAATGGTTACTCACAGTTTTCCTGTGCATAGAAAGTACACGCTATTTAACTTTCCCAAAGTCCCAAATAATTAGTTGTTTGGACAGCAGCTACTTTAGAGGCAGTTGCATTGAGATATAGAAACTAGCAGACTTGAAAGACTTCATGCTAAAACCAAGACTTTGTGGACTTGATGTTGCTTGAGCATGCCAATTCTCAAATTCATTAAATCAGCTTATTTAAGAACTTAGACATGGACTTTAAAAAGAAATTAAAACTGAGCTGATTCCATTTAGTAATGAATTTTAAATGTATTTTTTATTTATATTAATAAACTTTTAATTAATTAACTTTTAAGTAGTTTGCAATATATGAACTTTAAACGAGATCTATATGATGTACTCCTTTACACACCATGATGCACCATTTAATCTGTCTTCATGGTGACCTTTTTAATCTTTGTCTGTTCAAGGCTTCATATTTCAGAGAGGTTTGAAATATGAAGCCAGTGTGGAAATGCCGAAAGTTACACTTATTCTCATGGCTGCTTGAGGCTGTCTCACAGTGAGTCAGTCCCCACAGACTCTGATGTTAAAATGGCACGTTTTGAAAACTGTGTTTTTAGTGAGGTACAAAATGTTTTTGGCCTCTATGGGTAGTTTCTATCTTCATAACAACTTTAGTACAGATGATTTTGATTTTGTGCATTGCATTTATAGTACAGTTTATGGCTGACCGAGCCTGAGAGCTTTAGCTAAAAAAGTGTTAGTCCTCTCCTCAAACCAATGGGCGATGCCATGTTGTTAGATCCATACATCATATTCAGATTATCTGTAAATGATATCTGAAACGCGTCTGATTTTAGGGATGAGGCAAGCGTGGTTCTTCAAGCGTACTTTCTGCATTTCCACAGTAGCTGATGGATCGATACTAACCTCCTTATTAGCTGTCTTACGTGAAGCAATTATAGACGTACACCAGGGATGGATCAGACCCGCATTTGGATGCGATGAGATGAGAGGAAAATTAATGCTCCCACTTTGTTCCAACAACAAAGCAACACACGTGCACATTGTTGTATACCTAAGAGGCTTCAAGCTTCAGTGCAGTTGTAGATTACACTGTTTATCATCGGAAGAGGTAGTATAAATCAAATTAATTATGTGTTTGATTATACTGCCAGGAAAACATGAAGCAACTATCTGCGTCAGCGAGGACACAGAGTGGCAGCAACTCCCATCTCATCCCACCCTGTTCTTTGGATGCAAGAATTAGCATCATTCATGATGGAGGCCAAAGCAGATTAAAAGGAAATCTACATAACAAAACAAACAGCTGACAAGTCAAAATTACAACATCACAAATAAAAGCTGCTGACATGTTATTTGGAAGCTCAAAGGGGGTTTTTAGTTAAAGGAGAGTAATGGCTACACAGCATCGAGGTTGCCTGGCTCTGTTCGATTGTTCAGTAGTTTCATTTTTTAAGTTAATCACTAGATCGTTTTCAGAGTGTGAACCTTCCATATAAGACATGCAAGTATGAGCCGTAGATGCATTTGCTTTGATGAATTCGCTTTAGAAATGTAAAGGGCTTGCATGAGCAAATCTCACCGCAACCCCATTACGAATGTGTCAAACTCACAGTGATTTATCATGTTTCAGACCTTGCATTGGGACTTGCTTTGAGCAAATCGCTTTATGAAATCATTAATTACATCTCGTAGTCCTTTAAAATGATGCATGTCACAGTCAAAACGTCATCGCTAAGCTCATGCAAAGTGACTAACAGTGCACGCGTAGAAGTCTGACAGCACACATTTCTGGAATTTGCCTGCCAAGCAAACAACATCTGTTCGTGTCTCACTGATTCAAGCTCCAAGTCTACCCTGATAACTTTTTCTTTTTCTCCCTCCACCTGGATCACCGTCCCTCAATCATTGCACTGGCCTTATATTTATCTCTCATTCTACCCACTAGCTTTAGGGGCCCTTCAGAGGAGAAGGGGAGTCCAATTTGTCTTTACAAGTTGGGACTACACTTTCAGCCTTGAGTGGAACAGATAGATGCCCGATAGAGTTCTCTAAAGGCTTGTTAATAGCTGATTGGAGGAAGAGGAGGGAGAGAGTAAATGGACACAGACTTAAAGAGAGAAGAAGGAAGTAATTCAAGACTGAATGTTAAATTGAATAATAAGAGTCTAATGGAGAGGAACCAGTACGAAGTGGCGAGCAGGAGAACAGGACTGCTGTATCAGCTGGATGCCTGCTGATCAGCCATTTTTACTCTGGACTACAAGGATGTGCTGCAGTGGCTTTTACACTTTTTTTGTCTGGGGATCTATAATCTTAAAACTTGGAACAGACTGTAGAAACTTGCTAAAGTCTGGTTTAAATTAACTGTAGGCACAGCCTGGTCATCATTTCACACCCGTGGGGGAGTGAATAGACATTTGTTATGTTCTGGTGCTTTAGGCAACAGTCAACTCACTTATAATGCAAACAATTCCAGACAGTTGGTTATTACAGTTGCCAAGGCCCAGACAAGCAAAAGAGAAGCTACTTAACTCATGTCAACCGAAGTCTCAAAAGATATTCATTTCTTAGTAAATGCTTCGCTCCTTTGTTGTACTTAACTGCTTCTTCTTATATCTCGCACGTCTACTTGCATCTAAACATCTCAGTGATCTCTAGTTTTGAATCACTTACTTATTTGAGTCTCAGCTGCTGCTCGGGTTTTGATTTCCAGGTGTTTGGAGCTTTGATTTGCATTATTTATTTATTTATTCCATTTATTTATTATTTTTAATTCCCGTGCCATCTTAGATGATTTCATTCCTGTTTTGCTTCATGGCTTTGTTTCTGTTATTAGTAGCTGAAGTTCCTTCACTCATCCTCCATCTGTTTCTTCTTTGGTCTTGTCTTTTTTTGTCTTCATGAGTCTTCTTGAACCCATGTTCAGTATTTTTCCTTTGGATTCGCTTGTCTCCTACTTGTTAAGCGTTAGTATTAATGTCTGTATTTCTTGTTTCATTTTGTCCGGTGTTAGTTTTGCTTGCTGTTTGTCTCCATCCAGTTGTCTTCACATTTGTCTCGTTAAACTTCTATTGACCATTTTGATACTTTTGATTTTGATGCTTCTTTAGTTTGAAAGTCTGCCTGCAGTGTACAGCATTTTGGTGCTATCCACATTAAACCCTGTAAAAACAGAGGAATCACTGTATGTCTCATTTTCAAACTACAGCTTGTTAAATTTTATTCAGCTCTGAGGTTTCTTTTTGTGTGTGTTATTTCCATCTGCCACCTGGTGATATCAGCGTAGAATGTCACAGGGATTTTTATTTTATTGTATTATTTTTGTATTACTTTTTATTTGATTTCAAATGCTAATTTTTAAGTCGCCTTGACTACATCAGAAAATAAGCTCAGTGGGAAATAAACAAAAATGCCACGTTTACATTTTTTGATGATCATCATAAAATGTTTTAATTGATTTAATTTGATCTCCACCACTAAACTTCTGTGTTTGGCATGATGCTTTGAATAGCCTGGACCACGTCCTTGACTTCTGTTGACTTGTTTAGTTACTTGTTACCAAATATCATAAAAGCTTCAAAGTTCAGGAGAGCGGCATTTACTTTTGTGTTTTGTTGCAGATGTTTGTTTGGTTTTTTGTTTGTTTTTTAATCTTTCTGAAGCTTGTGTAAATACAGAGCTCGTTTCAGGCATCCAATCAAAAGCCCTTAAAAAATTTGAACCCCAACCCTAAAAACCTGTTGACTCTGTGATGAGGGAATCACAAGTGAAAAATGCTACGTCATTTCAGGGCTGTAGGACTTGCTGCAGCAAGCCTTTATTCCTGATTTGTGAGCTCACTGTAGATCCTGTGACCTTACAATGCTGTCAACAGTGCACATACTGAATTTTAAAACATAAATAAACTTCCTGACTATGATATCTATACCCTTGCTGATGCAGCACAGATAGATATCAGTGGAAACATTGGAAACTGATGTAACTTTTAAATTCTGTAAATCTATTTATTATCAATTTAAACCAGATTTCCATTATAATTGACTAATGGGAAATGTAATACAATAGAACAAACACAATGAGAAGTACAGGCGAAAGGAAAAATGCTTGAAGGTCTTATGACAAAAAGTCAAAAGGGTCAAAATGTGATAATTATGAAAAACTACTGATATAATTCACAACATAAAAGAATGCCGTGTTTCTCAGCCTAATTTTTTTTTAGTTTCTCCAACTTTTCAGACCTCTTGCAAATAATTTTCTTGCAATTCTAATAAAGAAAAAAAAATCAGCTTTAGCTTTTAACTTGTGATGAGGCAGAAAGTTTGGAAACCACTCTGGGTGTTCTACAGCTGTGTGTTTACAGATCAGCAGTGTTCACCTGCAATCCTTGCTACAGTTCTCCTCTGTGATCCCGTCCTCGTCTTCACCCCAGATGTCCACGGCAGAGAAAATCAAGGCCACCAATACAGCAAAGCAGCACACCAAGGCAAAGATCACAATGCACTTCTGCTGAGACTGCAAGAAAGAATAAAAAACAACAACACTTAAATTATAAAGGCACATTTTCTGCTCTTCATCGCTACTGCAGAAACACAGCCAAAGTTCTTCAACCTTGGCTCCTATTAGCTGTCTGGCTGACAGAAGTGATTTAATGCCCAGCTCAGCGGGTCACTGGATGATAGAGGAGAATTGAACGCCAACATGTAAGAAGTATGACCTCGCAAGTTCTGACTTTCATATAATCCAGAAACAGGAATGAGAAGAAAAGAACAAAAGATATACAAGGAGGTGGTTTTGTTTCTCTCGCTGTCTCTAATTTTTTTAATTTCTTTTTGGTAATATTTATGGTCTCATGAATTTCAACATGCCATATAACTCAGAAGAAAATAAAGGTCACCTGAACTGTGCAACATGCAAATATGAAGTTTGACATCAAAGAATCTGTTTTGCTTGTTAATATTAATCAGCCCTTTGGAGAAATCACAAAGCCAAAATGTAATTTTGTCCCATGCATTGCTGACCAATTACAGTGTGAAAGGAAATGCAATATCTCTACCACATCAGCCAAACAGCCCCTCTGGGTGCAAATCTACTCTGAAAAAAGAACACTATCCAATATTGTTGACAGGAGGAGGAAAAGTTTCTTACTAAGAATATTTCCTTGGGGATTTGTCGACCTTTGAAAGACCCGGCAGTAGCAAAATAACTGTACAGTTTTCTGTTTACCTCCTGAAGATAAACACACCAGAAATGGGATAAAATGTATAAATAATTATAACCAGATTTGTTCCATTTGCTGTTGTTTAAACATACAAGATCTAAAATTGCATGACCCCCAGGAAGTAGAGGAAATGACATAGTACCAGCTCAGAGGTCATGGTAAACGTATCTTGTATTTTGTGTCTTTATATGCCACAAAGCATTTTTGTTTAATTCAGCACATTTTCACAGCATCATATTAAATACGATGTCACCTCTGCTTTTAACGTGCAGTGAAAGCCAAGATGACTTAGAAATGTGTGTGGTTCTGGTGATTATGATGGATCTATAGAAGAAAACTATTTAGGCCAAATATTGCACAAGCTTAAAAAATGATAATAGAAAAGACCTTTAAGACCATTTCAGACCAGTGAAATGAAATGAAATATGACACATATGTAAAATACAATAGTTGTAGTCCAGATACACGTAGTTTTCTATATCGGCTCAAAAGTTCCTACATCACGTTCATTTGCTGTCTTCTTAAGCCTTTGTTTGTTTGTTTGTTTGTTTTTTTAAAAAACCTGCTGAAGGTGGTTCAAGTTTCTTTTTTCTCCTCAAAAAATAGAACAAAACTAAACAAAAAAGCAAACGCATAACAACTGTGCTGTGGATTTTAGCAAAACGTTTAGTATCCACTTTGGATGCTAGAGAGAAGAGGTCCCGGGGACCCCTCCAAACAAGCCATACTTGTTCATTCTTTTTCTAAATGTATTTTTTATAAACTTTAACATTTAACATGCTAATTGAGGCTTGTGGACTCTGAGCTCTTGGGTTTCTGCAATTTCTCTGATCATTGCATGGTCTGAGCTTAGGGTGAATTTACTGGGACGTCCCTGGGAAGATGGTGTTGACACACACCCGAATGGTTCAGACCAACAACCTGCCTAAATGTTTGCCTTTATAAGCAAACCTCCAGCAACGACCTGCGCTGGGGGTCACATCTGCTGATCAGTTAATTAAGTGCAACTAATTAGCACCACCGCTGCTGTTTAGCCCCTTAATTCCTATAGAAACAACAGGGGTGCACTCATTTATATCTATGCTGCTTAACCTGCGTAGATTCCTATAAAAACTTTACTTGACTATAGACGTCTAGAGATAAATATGTAATCATGTGGCTAGTAGGCATACTGTGCATGTTTCCAACTTCTTATAGTGTGTAACTCTGTAAAAGTTTTGGTGATATTGAAGAAAATAATTCACGATACAAAAATGAAATATAGAACTGTATTGATTTTTGCTTGAAATCATATTACAACGCTCTACTAGTCAGTGAAGAAAAGATATTCAAATATTTATATCAGTATGTTAAAGATTTTAATCAACTTTACAACCAACAAGCAGTAAATGGGACATTATGTTTCTATTGTAGTCTCAAGGTACTGACTCATTTACAGAGAACTGCCATAGTTATTTGTAAAATAATAATAAATGCATCCTGATTCCGAGAAACCAGCCAGAAGAGCCCAAATTAATTACCCTTGAACACTTGCACAGCAGATCACTAGCACAGTCAGCTAAACTCTCTGTCTACAAAGAGAAATGTTATATCACAGACCATCAACCTCTGCAAGCCACACAAACACATAGCTTTGGTTGCTGTAGTGTGTTTATTGTAGCTAGAGAGATGAATGCCCACAGGTCCTCAATGTGGGAATTAAATTAATCTTTGAGCCAGTCAATGGAGCATTCCCAGAGAAGCAAAGACACACTAGCTGGGATATTCAGCTTCACACTCTCATTCTCACACAACTATCTGTCTGCGCTGATGTCTGCCATAGGAATGGCGTTTTCCACTGGTGGATGAGATATTACACCGTACATGTTCCATTTAAACCATAATGCAATCAGTTTACATCTTAGACTGACTGGACAAAGAAGATGAAGCAAGGAGATTAACTTAACTGCTGAACCTCCAATCACATGTGATTGGTTGTGTTTGTGCTTGATAGCAGTGATATGAAAAGGTCACGTTAGTGCACACAAGGGACCATGTTACCTGGCACTGGAGCACAGCTAGAAGTCAGTGCTCCTTAAATCATAGGAAGTAGCAGCATTAGCTAGACAAATAAAGAAAACTTTAATGCAATTATCAAAAAATGTGAACAAAATAATTGCTAGTTTGTGCTTCAATTTGTGAGTATACTAACTATACTAACATTAAAGGTACAGTGTGTAAAATCTCACCACTAGATGTCAGTAAATTGCAGATTTCAGTCAACTGAATCCGATCAGTTCAAATACATAATTCATCTCAACTACTGTATTCAGGATGCCGGGCAACATGACAGATTCACAAACTGGTGCTTGCTCCTATGGATCTTTAATAGATTTACGCTTTAATAGTTCCTGAGAACACAGTAATTTTGTTGGAAGACATAAATACAAACTAATCACACTAATCAATGTACTTATTTATAAGCACAACATTCTTGTTTTGTTTTAAGCAACCCCCTAAAATTGCTTACTGTACCTTTATGGCCTCAAAATGTGGAGTTCAAAAAGAGTGAGGCTACATCCTACTTTTACATATTTCCTTTATTATTTTTAATATTTATGTCACAAACCCTCCACAGCAAACAAGACCTCAGACCTCTTTCTCTCCAGCCACGTCCTCCAGCTTATCCAGGGCAACGCTGAGGGGTTACCAGGCCACACAGTCGAGAGATATAATCTCTCCACTTATGTTGTGGGTCACCGGGGCCTCTTCTCGGTAAGACATGCCCAGAACATCCAACCTAGGAAGCATCCTAGTCAGAGTGCCAAGCAACTTCAACTGGCTCCTTTCAATGTAGAGAAGTAGTGGTTTTATCTGGGTCATTCTCAAATGACTGGAGTCTTCACCTTATCTCTAAGGAAGAAGTCAGCCACCCTTTGGAGAAAGCTCATTTCCACTGCTTATGTCTTTGGTCTTGTTCTTTCGGTTACTACTCAAAGCTTGTGACCATAGGTGAGGGTAGCGACATACATTGAGCGGTAACTCAACAACTTTGCTTCTCAGCTTTCTCTTCACCAGGACAGACTGGTACAGCGTCCACATCACCGCAGCTGTGGCTGCAAACCAACTATAAAGACATTAAAGGCAGACCTGGCTCCAGGTGTTACACGTGCTGCTGATTGATATCCATCATAGATCTGCAACAAAATAACAAGCTGAGAGGGAGGCAGGGTACAGACACTATTCACCGTAGCAATGTCTGGCAATCCAATCCTGGTGAAATATGGAAAGATTTTTATGGTTCCCATTTAATCCCCAATTTCCCTGCAAAATAAGTGCATGCATTTTACTCCTCAGACTTCCCCTACACACAATATGCTTAATTTCGTTAATGTAATAGGGGGTTAAAACGGCAACAATCGTTGCCGGTGGGAGCTGATGATAAAACACTGTTCTATACTTCCCACATTGCCATTTCACTGAAAACTGAGCGCCGACACTGCCAGTATCATCTCTAAAACAATAACCCTAAACAGACGAATCCCACAAACAAAATTTCCAGCTAAAATATACAGACTTTTTTTCTGTCATCGCTTTCAAGAAGCTTTTTGGCTGTTTACAGTGATGGTTTTTGTGGCTTAAAAATTCCAATCTTATACCAGAAGCAAAGATAGCCTTGAGTGACTGAGGGGGAAAAAATCATAAATAAGATGATTTAATGAAATTGCTCGCTGGATGTTTTAAAAAGCTCCCCTGAGTCCATCTAAAAAAAAGCCCGTGCAAGGTGGATGGCACAGTGCCAGACTACACACAAAAACAAACACACTCTACACCTCATACTGTCTCCTTGCCTGCTTTTTGAATGCACAAACACACATGCAGACACAGAAGTAAAGGCCAGAGAAGGTGGATGTTTATAAGTGCAGATCAGAGGCAGATGTTTTAAACAAAACTGCCTGTCCTTTCCCTCTGCAACTATCTGCCAAAGCTCTTCTTAGTTGTTTAAAGTTTGCCCTTTTCTTCTTTTTCTTCTTTTGAAAAACTGGCTTATTCTAGTCATCTTATAACCTTTAAAAACTCTGCTGTAAAAAAAGCTTTACTAAAGTGTGGGGGTTATCTAAAGTAGACACTATCTTTCTTAAGTCCTACTTTTTTTGTACTGCAGTGTCACACTATAGTATGCTGAAGAAAAGCAGAAAGATGCTAGAAATATGCAGCAAGCTGACAGTTTGTGAAGGCATATGATCCCTGTGGCTTTGGAAGCACATTTAAGGAAATCTTAAAGTGCGCCTACAGAGAAGCAGAATGAGTTTCT